ACAGTAGGGTCCCATGGGGCTTGGAGAGGGGCACAGTGGGGACAGGGGCTCAGCAGAAGGAAAGCAGGGGAAGATGAGGAGCAACTTATGGTCATGCTCTGGGTGGTGAGGCCCTGGGCAGGGTGAGATGGAATGGATGCAGTAGGGTGAGATAGGATGGGATGTGGTGGGATGGGATGGGGTGGGAGACAATGGGATGTGGTGGCACAGGCTGCTATGGACAGGATGGGATGGGACAGGACAGGATTGAACAGGTAATGATGGGACAAGAAGGGATGGGATGGAACAGGGTGGGGTGGGACGGGGTATGATGAGACAAGATGGGCTGGTGTGGGATGGGGTAGGGTGAGGTGGAGCAGAGGAGGATGGGATGGGATAGGATGGGATGGGACAGGACGGGACAGGACTGGGTGTGATGGGATGGTGAAGGATGGGGATCTCCACCAGCCCTGGCTGCTCTCTCCTCTCCTGCAGTCCAGGACATGATCCGCATCACAGTGCAGCCAGAGTCGCAGGTCGTGACAGAGGGGACACGGGTGACCCTGACCTGCTGGGCAGCTGGGCCACCGGGGCTTGCATACCAGTGGTTCTGTGGGAAGCGGGAGGTGAGGTCCTACTGTGCCATGTTGAGCAGGGCCTCTGGGTGGGCAGGAGGGAGCCCTCCATTCATTGGCCCCCTCCTGTCTCGTAGATGCCTGGGGCCACATCCCCAGAGCTGGTGATCGACACGTCCACCCTGCCAGGCCAGCCCGAGTGGTACATCTGCCGAGTGAACTGCGGGGCCGCCTTCGCCTTCTCCAGGTGGGCCCACGTCCAGGTGGAGCGGAGCAGCAGCCCCAGCTCAGGTGGGCCCTGAGGTCTGCGTTCCTGGGCTGGCACCCGTGGGGCACCACACACCCTGTCAGGACTGGGGTGGCTCCCGTGGGGCATCACTTGCTGTGTTGTGCCCTGGCTCGACACTGAGGGTCTCTGTGCTTGTGGAGGTGACAAAGCCCATGGAGGACCCAAACACCCAGTGTCCTCCTCCTGCCTGCTGGCTTATGCCACTCGTGGGTGCCAGGGTCTGCGGGTGTCAGGGGACAGGTCAGTGGAGCCCTGCCACAGCTGGGTGCCAGATTTGCTGCCTCATCCACTCCCCCGGCAGCGGTTCATGCCCTA